TAGTTTAAATCAACATTTACTAGATGAGAATAAGCTAAAACACTGGGACTTGGAAGAGTGTGTTTACGTTTTATGTTCTGACCTTTGTAAGGAAAAATGTTTTCATAGAAGACAACATTTCTAGAAATGAAAATCTTATTTGATTCAAGGTCTAGTAGCTTATAACCTTTGATTCCAAAAGGATAGCCTAGGAAGACACACATTCTTGCTCTTGGATCAAACTTGTGTCTGTTATGTGTGAGAGTGGATGCAAAGGCAAGACGTTCGAAAACTCTAAGATGAGAGTAAGAAGGTTTGGCTTTAAATAGAAGTTCAAAAAAGGTGTTTTGTTGTCGAGAAGGGGAGTAGGTGTCCTGTTTATGAGAAATACTGCAGTCAGAACACAATCATTCCAATGTCTCACAGGAATTCCACCTTGAAACTTTAGGGCTCTATCCACATTTATGATATGTTGGTGCTTTCTTTCAACTATAGCATTTTGTTGGGGTATCTCAACACGTCTTTTGATGTATGATACCCTTCTTTGAGTAAAAATCTTTCATATCAAACTCCCCACCATTATCACTTCTAGTTATTTTGATTTTTACTTCAATTTGGGTTTCTATCATGCTACAAAAGTTTTTTAGAGCACGAGACGCTTTAGATTTAAGTTTGAGCATATAAATCCAAGTGTATCTACTAAAATCATCTACAATGGTGAGAAAATATTTTGATCCATCATAAGCAACTTCATTACAAGGTTCCCACAAGTTACAATGAACAAGTTCAAACAATTTTTGATCCATGAATGGTAACTTATGTAATTTGGCTAAAGGACAAATAGAACATGGTTTCGGTAAGGATTCAATTAAGGCTGCAGGAGAGACTTCTTCTTGCAGTAAGTGGTATAGGCCTTGCCTCTCTTTAGCTATTCCAATCGTTTTCCAAGTTAAAAGGTCCTGCATAAAGCAAGATTCAGGAAGGAAAATAAGACAACATCTTGATGATTGGGCCAATCTTCTAGCAGAGATAAGATTAAAAAGAGAAGGATGGGACACATAAAACTTCATCTAGAAATAATGACTCTGTCATTTTAACTGTCCCTATATGGCAGGAACTATATTTCCATTTGGAAGGGCAACCGAATGTGAAACTTCTGCCTTAATGGTTGTGAAAAATGAAGGAGAACAGATCATGTGATCTGTAGCTCCAGTATCCACGAGATATCGGAAACAGTTTTAGGCCTTGTGCTAGAAGTAGATAAACAAAAGGAAATACCAGAGATCTTTAGCATATCTGCCTCAACTGAGGGGGATGGTATGAGAGTTTGCACTTAATTGGCAAAAGGAGTCTAAGGCTGAGTGTTTTGTGACTTGAGTAATGCCATGAGCTGATCATATTGCTCCTGAGTTAAAGAGACTTGGCTGTTGTTGCTTGCTCCGTCCAGCAGTTATAAGAGTTGCAACTTGGTTTGCAGAGGATCCAGTGGTTCATTGCCTTCCATATAATTTATGACCCGGAGGATATCCATGAATTTTGAAGCATTTGTTTGCTGAGTGACCAAGGTATTTGGCAGTGTGAGCACACTGCAAAGAATCCTAATCGGAATTTTGTTCTCTCAAGAGAGTGGCCAGCTATCTTGTAGAAGGTGTAAAAATACTTCTTTTGAGGTACCACATTTTGCCTGCTTACTTCTTTTAGAGCTAATCATCCCATTAGAGCCATGGTCTCAATGGTGGGAATATCAATAGAAATTTGTCCCCTCTTTTCCTCTTGTTGAATGATTGAATACACTTCATTCAGTTTTGGGAAAGGTTTGATTAAAAGTATTTGAGCCTTGATACCTTTGAATGAATCATTTAGACCTATAAGAAACTTCATTACCCAATCTCTCTCTTGATTACACACTACAACTTTTAATCCTCCACAGGTACAATTGGGAATGGATTCAGAGTTCATTAGTTCATCAAAAAGAGTTTTCAATTTTGAGAAATACATACTGATAGTATCCTGATTTTGCATTAAGGCTGAAATTCCCTGCTTCGGTTCATAAATCCTGGGAGCATTCTGTTGCGCCAAACGTTGCTCAAGCTCTAGCCACAGTCTTTGTAGCACAGACACTTCAATTAGGGTAGTGTGTCCGACACCGTGTTGGACACGAGTCGATACCGACACTTCTCGGACACTCTACCGTAATCATTTTTCTTTTTATATTAGAAATATTATATATTGTTAATTCAAAGTTATTAGCAAGTAACAAATAGGTACTCATGTTTAAAAGATTTCAACAAGAAAAATTAATAACAAGTATAAAACTAAATTTNTAATCCTCCACAGGTACAATTGGGAATGGATTCAGAGTTCATTAGTTCATCAAAAAGAGTTTTCAATTTTGAGAAATACATACTGATAGTATCCTGATTTTGCATTAAGGCTGAAATTCCCTGCTTCGGTTCATAAATCCTGGGAGCATTCTGTTGCGCCAAACGTTGCTCAAGCTCTAGCCACAGTCTTTGTAGCACAGACACTTCAATTAGGGTAGTGTGTCCGACACCGTGTTGGACACGAGTCGATACCGACACTTCTCGGACACTCTACCGTAATCATTTTTCTTTTTATATTAGAAATATTATATATTGTTAATTCAAAGTTATTAGCAAGTAACAAATATGTATTCATGTTTAAAAGATTTCAACAAGAAAAATTAATAGCAAGTATAAAACTAAATTTATACTATACTATATAAATGAAGAATTTTTAAGAATTTAATCAACATGTCGATGACTTGTCATGTTTGTACTTTTTTAAAAAATCGCGTGTCGGCGTATCCGACACTTATCATGTCAGACACACATGTCTATGTCGGTGCATCATAGGCCACAGTTGATGTGTTGTTTCAACATATAGAGTACTGGTCTTGATGTCAATAGACATGGTATTCTGCAATCAAGTGATGACAATATCATTGCAACGAAGCCAATGATCTATTAATGAGCTATTTGCATCCTCTGGCTCGCAGATGCTTCCATCAATGAATCTCAGCTTATTTTTTTTATTCTAAGTGCCCTCTTCATTGACCTTGCTCAGGAATGATAGTTGTGAGTCTAACATTTAAGTGACAAGTAATGCACCATAATTATCACTAGTTCTAATGAAGAATGGACTACTTGGCTGAGATGGATCAATGGGGTCTGTTCTTGTGTTTAGAGGTTAGTTTTGATTATCATCGATATTGGAAGACTCATTTTGAGCCATGCTTGCTCTGATACCATATAAGAAAAAATTAATGAAAGGAAGAACAATGAAGAACACAGAATTCAGGATAGCAGAAATTGAGAGAAGATGTATATTGTGAAACTTCATGAAGTACATTAACTCACGATGTGAAACTTTTGTAAAGCTTGCTTGATTACGAGGATGTACATTAACTCATGATGGGTGACTTATAAATGGTAGGCAGAGCGAAGAAGTTCAATAACCAAAATTATACCACATTGAAAACTTCATGAAGTCATATCTCCAAGAGCAATACCTGCAGGAAGTAGTTGACGAAAGTGACATGACGTGATGTGACCTGACTAGAGGAAGTCAGGGAACTGAAAAAGTTGAGAATTAGAGTGGACAATGCTATGTTTGCTTTAAAGATGACAATCGAAGAAGAATTACTGGAGCATATAAGAGATAATAACACATCAAAGGAA